GCTCCAATATGTAGACTAGAACGGGGTTTCAAGAGACCAGGAACGACGTTTCGTGATCTCGCTTCGTCTGCATTAGCGGTGCAGTGAGAAAAGGGAGTGTGAGTAGAGTTAGTTGTAGAGAGAAGAGAGGTATGCTTTGGTGTAGGAAGGATTTGATTTTGACCAATTTGGTCTCGCGTGCTGTTACGGGTATGAGGGCGGTTGTCACTTCCCGGCTGCCCACACCGTGGAAGGTTGTTTCTTGAGGGACCTGAAAAGGAAGATGGACTAGTGTTGGTGCGTGACCGCAGAGCCCAAGGGACAACTGCTTCAGGCCGGTCACGCACGGCCTTTTTATGAAACGTTTTTGAGGATTAGCTCCGTTCTTAAAGGCCCTTAGTGGGCACCCTTACCCAAGGAGACGGAAATCCGTGAGTTAGGGGGAGTGTGACATTTTTAGGGCCGACGTTTTCTAACCCCCCTTCCTTCCTTTTGAGAAGGCAGCATCGCTGCAGATGCTGGTTGTCCGAGGGAAACACCTTACTGCTGTCACACCCCTCTGCAGTCAGCAGTACGACTTCGCCCTCAGACCTTGGGTAGCTGCTTTTAGTCTCATCGTTCTCCAATCGACCAGCCTGGCATGGTAGGACCTGCAGGAACATGTGTTCCAGCCAGTATAGCTCGGTTGGGTCATCACGATAGGCAAGCCCGACCACCACGTCAAGGTAGCAGTTTTTTTCGCTTAACTTAAAGAATCTATATTTTCGCAGAATTCTATGTGAAAGGGAAATTTTGTTTTGTTTTACTGTTAAAGTTCAACTTCCTACTAACTAGAGCAATTACGATCTAATAAATTTTTATTATGCGAATTATTACAAATCATACTATTTTTCTTCAACAGACTGGATTATTGTAAAGAAAGCATGACTAATGCGGAATTATTTACTATCAACGGTTTGTATTTCCCATCTTGATATTAAGGAGTAAGTTCGACCAATTTGTGCTGAAATAAGTAGATGTCAACAAAATCTCGCGATACTGCCAGTTGTTAAAGCTTTCAGTATATATATTTCTCGATAGTAGATAACAATGAATTCCATAATGTTTCATCCTGATTGAAAATGGTTTGACCACAAGCATCTGCTTAGGATCCATACATGTTAGTCAGGATGGCGAAATGAAATTCTGAGTACTAATAACTTGATATGTGTGAAACAAGTTAGAAGTAATCTGAACTCAGTTGCTTCGTAAATAACGTTGGCGATTAAGGCAACTAGCAACGGGTTCGAGTATAAACATGCTGGTAGATTCAGCTGACGAGTGGATGTGTGCATTGACTTTTAGCGCAAGAAACTGACTAAAAATAAGGCAATATTTATCGATTCAATTTTTTTATAAAACCATATTCAACTTTTTGATTAGTTGTGTTCTAATCAGGAAACATTAAGCCTGTTCATGTCAGCAGCTTCACTGTGAGATTAGGCGTTGTCTTGTCTTTATATTCTAATGAGCGAGACAAGGCAAAATTATAGGACTATAGGACGGGAACAGGAATTTTAGTGGAAAAAACTGAAATCCATGATGAAATCTTATTTTTTGGAGACCGCCCTTCTTTTTGAAAAGGAATAAATATTCGACGGCAATCAACTTTAATAATTAAAATCGCTACAAATCTTGTGACCTTTACGAAACGCGAGTACTAGAAAAGTAAATATATCATGAAACAATAATTCCGCTCGTATTGTAGAATTCGGAGTCACGTACACATTTTAGTGACCCGGAATTCGACTCCAAGTCTTACGAACAATTAAGTATGCTATGAAATAAATCTTTCATTTATTTTCCGTATAACATTCTTAGGCGAAGCCTGTTTGTGCGACGGCGATTATTAAAAGCTCAATACGGTTTTGAATTTTCTGCATACATTTGTATAGGCAGACGGACAATAGAAGTGAGGCGGAGAAGGTAAGTGAGCGAACTAAATGTGATGAGGGATGACCAAGGATCTATATTCAGATAAAATAAACTAGACATGTGATGACCAAAGCAAGCAATGCACATACATACTCAAGTAAGAACAATCAACGATATTAGTGAATCATTAACAAGCTGGAAAGACGTGTGAATAACAAGAGAAGAATGGATTAATTAATTTGTTCAGAGGCACGTATAAGCCATGTGGGCTGGATAAAACAGTTCAGGCCACAAAATGATTTCAGTTTATTATGCGCATATACGACACACAGTCAAGAAGGAAGTTACAGATTGCCCAGTTAGGGTCAGTATGATTACTGTGCCAAAACATTAGACTTCAAGTGAAATGTATGAAGATTTTTCTCGATGGTGGAGTTGCATTCACTCTTCATTGCCATTCAAGACATAAGTTCCTTACAAAACTATTTTACTTTACGAATGTCTTTTACTGGATCAGAAGTTCGATCACGAAAACTTTAAATCCCACTAACACTGTTGATATATCTTCTGTAGCATTCGATTTAACATTTTCATCCATTCAAACGCTCCAGATTTTAAGTTAAGTATGACTAAAAGACTGAATTTAGTGAACGCCCCTCATGTAATTGACGTTATTCATTATATAACAGTCAAAAATAACACAATCGAGAGATTAAGATAAGAACCATGGAACTTCAGCCTTTTTTTGGTTCGCGTCTAGCCAGGAGGTACCTTGTATGCTAGGGGGATGTGAGTAGCAGCCTATGAAATTATCGGGTAGAAGAAATAACAAGAGAAAATAATGAGCCGACGACTCAGTAAGCACATCCAATATCTTTTTCACGAGCTAGTGTAAACCAATTTGATTTCTTCGCACTCGATTCTTGTTCTTTCGGTACGGTTCCAGGTGTTCAGTCGTGTCCAATGAATGGGGGTCGAGACACTCGACTGTCTAATTCTAGTCAGTTGGCAGTTGGTTGTGAGTTTGTATGTCTCGAGATTTGAATGAAACGTTTGTTTCAGGGCAGTAGGGTTTCTGGATACTAGCAGCCGTCACTTTACCAAACCGGAGATCAGTTAGTTGCAATGTGGAGAGTAATAAGGGTTATAAGGATAAAATTCTAATGATAATATGAATAAAATTTCAGAACTGAGTAATATATAGATGAATTTAGTCTATGCACTTACGTGCAATATAGGAATAAATAGACAGCAACCAGAAATAAGGCCAGCGTGAGATTAAGAGAAACTAATAAACGGAACTATGAGTTGACAGATTAGGGTTTCGAATGCGTTAAAAACCAAATACCTTAAACTGGGCGGGGAATACCCAAGGGCAGTGTTGTGTTTCTGATTGGTTCTGGCAAGGTCGTGCGTATTCTAAATCTCACCTTGAAATTTCACTGATATAAAAACTAGTATATCTGTATATTTTTATTTCCAAGCTGAGCTCATAAACATTTTCATTTGAGTCAAAGGAGAATCAGAGGTAACATGATAGTGGCGCATAACATTAAATACACCAAATCATCTCTTCATGAGCATTTCGCCGAAGCATCACCACCACGCTTCTTGAGGCGATCCTCAAAAAATTGCACTGGGAAGTGCGAACACTCGTGTACGCTAAAACTTTTTATCATTAAAAGTTGTTACAACTTGGAATTCTACACCAGCCGAAGTGACTACAGCATCCTCTGTGAATAGCTTCGAGAAGAGACATAACAGTACAGCCGCGCTCGCCTCTAAATTGACGTGTCCTTGTTGACCTCTCTTTATTCACAGGAAACGATCCAGTTTTTGACACCAGGTTGGAGTAGTTAATCATTCCCGAAGATATAAAAGTTGCCTCCATTCATTGAGTAACTAATTCGGACAAACGGAATCTCTCCAAGTCAGAACCACAGTTCAATATGTCTAGCTGTATCTTGCTAGTTGCTTCAGCAGCATACACTTATTCATTCACCTACAAACACAGAACTTGTGGACAAGTTACTTAATTCGAGCGAAATCGCTTACTGCGATGGTGAAAGGTAAAGTTACAATTTTGAATGATAAGTAATAAGGTTACTACCATTTCTTGCGCCATAAAAACTAGGAAAACCAGTAAAAGTATGAATGACGGGCATATTAGAGCGTCGAAAATCCCAGTACTGAGCGCCAGAGCTGTGAAAAAGTTCAAAAAGTTACTTGATAGTGTACTTCGGAGCAATGTTCACAATTTGAACCGTTCGACCCAAACACCTAAACTAGACCTCAACATAGAAAACGAGAGGACTCTCTTCAGATTCTTACTCCTAGAAAGATCGGAAGGCAAAATAAGAATGGGAGATAAAGGTGTCTGAAGGCTCAACTGACACAGACTATCGTTCAGAAATCGAACAAAGATAATTGTATCGCCTTCTCGATGCAATTCGAGACTCTGCTTTTGATTGCAACTTCTGTAGTACATGGCTTCGTTGTCACACTACACTACAGTGCCCAGAGGGTACTATGGGTTTGTACTGAGTCACCCCTGTCCGTGATTCCGGTATATCTGTCCACAGTACTGAATCAGCGAGACAACGAAAATAGAGCACTAGCGAAGCCACAGCCCCACAAAATCAACCTACAAATCTGAACAGGTAAACCTAACTCGCCTGGCACTAACCAACTTAACAGTAGACAAAAGTACTCATAAGCCAAACCAAGATACCAACGAAACTGCCGGTTTCCGTAAATCTTCCAGTATATGTTAACATTAAGGAGCAGTGTGTGAATGTAAAAAAGGGGAACGGTAATACTACAACTCGCAAAATGTTATCAGTCAGTGACAGGGATGTTCGAGTGTCGGAGGGTAGCTTGTTAGAATGTAAGGTTGCCTTTAATAAAGAACAATGGGGTAAGCACTGCATAGTCCTCGGAATGTGCAGTACCTCGGCCAAAATATGCCGTCTTTTCAAAGGTTGGAAAGTCACTAAAGGGAAACCACCTCCAATTAGGGTAACTTAGACTCTGCACAACTTGCCGAAGATATTCCACTCATATACAAGAGACTCTGCGTGTATTTGTTCTCCCCGATCCAAATCAGGCACCAGCAGCAGACACAACATTACAGGGAACCCAAGAGCGAACCAGTACAGTAGTTCATGACATGCCCAAACTGGTTGGTGGTAACTTCAATGACGCTTACTTTCATGACGTGCTTCAGTAGCGATGGTTATCGCGTAGCATAGGCCCCCACGCCACCACGGTGACTGGCATTTCCAGGCTGCCTCAACCATCAAATCTCATGACCATTAAGTCACCATGACTGATGGTTGCGGAAGACCTGAGTGAGGCGCCTCAGGCTTTGTTCAGCTGGAGGAACGATCTCTCTAGCCGTATAAGGTGTTGCAAAAGCGGATCCAGATCTGTGAGACAACAATAAGAAGGCCAAAATGAGCGCAATGGACCTTGAACAGCAACCCCCGTCACAAGACACGAAGGTAATGGTCTCGCCGATTAAACGTACTGTAGAGGCAAAAAAATCTGTGGAGGTCAGTTCTCTGGGGACTGCCTGACTCGGTTTGAACAACTTGAAAATTTGACAACGACTGTTGCTGCAGAGGTGCACCAGGTGATGAGACAAACCACCAAGTACCGCTAAATCAACATAAGAGGAATAAGGCTGAAGCTGTTAGAAATCAGGAGTATGAGCTCACAGACGGATCGGGAATTCATAATATAAACTGAAGCATGACTATTTCCTGACATTGAAGAAGAGGAAATGAGCTTGTGAATTTGTATTCTTGGTAGGCAACGTCAATGATTTAGATTAGTTTTGTGGACAAAATGCCGGTTCGCTTATTTGATAGATTCAAACTCATACCTCGTGCTAGAATACGTTTTCGGTCTCTAAACGGGTTAGATTTCTGTAGGTATGAATCTTAACTATTAGCGAATCGCTATTCGACTATTAAAATAACCGTACTTTGTTCAAAGTGCACACTAGGCTTTTGAACGATTCCAACAATTAGAAACTTGCAAGCCCTATCAATATGTAAACAGCTATCCAGTGAATAACCTACAGATAACAGAAATGAAATAGTTATAATTTGGCGGCATTCCCATGGGTAGAAATTCAGAACCACCAATTTCAACCTTGGCATTGACACCTACAAATATAGAGAGTGTTTACATTAGGTCCTTAGCCAACCGAAAATTTTGTGTTGGTTTTGAAGAAAAGTAGACAGTTTAGCACCAAGTTAAGAAAATATTGTCATCATGATGTTACTTTTGAGAGAAAGTAGACAATCTCGTGTTAATTTTAGGAAGGGTTAAAAGATTTATTTTAAGGCATTTCCATTCACTTTCTTGTTGCGGTGGAAGGTGTCCTCCTTCACCATAGGAAGGAGAAAAGAGACGAAGCGTTTCGATATTCGGTAGCGGATTTACCGAGGAAAGTTTTTAATGTCCTGCAAATAGATCTATGCGCTCAACCAGTGTCCATTAGTGGTGAAGTTTAATACAATCTGTGAATAAATTCCAATCTTCTTAGGTCTGTTGACCGATGGATGAGCACCCTATTACGACTCTTTGCACTGACAAACTAATGTAGCTGGTCCGTTTGTAGATGTTCGAGTCGAGGATGATTACGAACACATCTTCAAGCCAATATCGTTCTGGTATTTACTCGTTATCACGTCGTGAATCAGTAACGGGGAGAAAGGGATAGTCCTGATGAGTGAGTATATTTTCTGGCGCTTTCGTGGTATCTAAGCATATGGAAATCGTGCCAGAGAAAATGGGCAAAAGGATACAGAGCAGCAGAAACAAGATGGCAACCGTGCAACAGGAAAGTGTGTTACAGAGGTAAGACTAAACAAGAAGTTCAGTAAAACATCCACCAGTCCAGTTCTTTTTCTGTGAGCCAAGACGACAAGAACCTTGATGTCAGTCCATCTAAAGATTACTAATAAAAAGACGGTTTTGCTTCGTATTCTGCACTTTGGAAGTGCTCTTTTCGATGAAGTGCCCAGTATTGTGAAGTGACTGACAACTTCAAGTTTCATGATTTAAGACAATATATAAATTATGTAAGTTCTTGGAGCATCATCCACTTACCAATATAGTCATCCATAATGCGAAATAGTTATCTAATGAATTTGGTAAACCTGCTTATTTGTCCCTCATGTCTCCTTACTGATGACGTGCTTTTAGTTTTCGCAGCTCCTTTCCAGATGACAAAGGGAAATGTAAAATGGATAGAGTAATATCTAATTTACGTGGATGATCACACTAATCAAAATTACACTGCAAAATATATATTCCCAGGGATATTGGACCCTGATGGTAAACTTTTAACGGCCAAACTTTGGTCAGAAGAATTATTTCAGACGCGTACTTTACTTTCGAACCTTAGAGATGATATGAACACCTTTCAAGTGTACAGAGTATCGCATCGAAGTCTTTAGTACACGTCTATGATAACCACTGACGTGGGATAAGTTCACTGTCGCCACACATTCAGTAGCTCCTTAATATACCTAATCTAAATTCATCCTACTTCACATAAGAGGTCATTAGTGATAAAAATTGAAAACTCAAAGAGAATGTGACTTGCTTGAATGTCTGAACACTTATGTTATAAACGACTATGTTTTGGTGTTTGTTTATAGGGGATTTTCCAATGCCTACATATGAATGTTTCACTACCGTTATTAATGTAAATGATATTTGTAATGGATTTCTGAAAATGTATATAAGCATCTACTGCTTATTCGAACTCGGAATTTACACAACTGTGTTCACAAATTACCCCGATGTAATCAACGTGAAGCGGGAAAATCGTGGCGGACTAAAAACATTTATCAATATCAGAATGGTGATCAAGTTATTTCAAAAAGAAATATAGGGATTATGAATGACATACAAATGTAGAAATATGCGCACAAAAATATGGGACCTTACTTAAACTGTCAGCAGGATGCGTTTTCAAGTTTGTGGTCTTGTAATCCACAGTTATCAGAAGTAATCAATACTGACAAATGAAATGTATATATTTATTGATAAATGCAAATTATTATTTGTCAAGAACAACTGGATAATGAGATCACTATGATTTGTAAATGTAGCTATAATAGAGATATATTGTCCAGGCAGCTGATTAAGTGAGAAGGAGGAGTACGTGAATAGAAGTTTATATTGTGAACAGTAATTAGTATGGCAAGTAAGGTGAGTACGAAATAGTCACAAGTGATCAAGGTAAAATCTAAACAACAATTCTACGCTGGATTACAGTGATTGTATAAATGAAGTGAAATTATGAGAA